CTGTCCTGGGGCAGGGGTTAGGACAAGGACCGGGCCCTTCCTTGGGGGTACATTTCTGTGCCTTGTGTCGCTCCTGCTGTTGGGTGCTGGTGAGTCCATTTTGTGATGACCCACGCCCCGATCCTGTGCCACCCTCGCCCGTGTGTTTGAGCTCAGTGTTGCAGCCCCGGTCTCAGGCCATCTCCTGGTGGGCTGGCCATGTTCACTGAGCCTCTACTTCAGGGTTTCCCCGAAGTGGGCCATCCTGCCCCATGGGGGCACTGGAGCCACAGGGCGGCTTCAAGGACATGCCTACAGTATAACCTAGGGAGTCCCCGTGGTGCCGTGGTTATGGGCTAGGCTGCGACCTGCAAGGTCAGCGGTTAGAAACCACCAGCTACTCCTCAAGAGAAGAAATGAGGCTTTCTACCCCATAAAGAGCTACGGTCTCTCTCGGAAAGCCACCAGGGCAGTTCTCCCCTGTCCTGTAGGTCTCCGTGAAATCGCAATCGATTCCACAGCAGTAAATTTGTACTGTAGCCTCTAATCCAAAAGTCTCAATGCCATGGGGGGCGGGGGGCCCGGGCATTCAATAATTTGGTTTCCTGAAAAGGGGGTGGTGGGCTAAAAAAGTGTGGGAACCTCTGCTCTACCAAGAATAATGCACCCGCCCCCTGAGGGGGCCCAGGGGGGACTGGTATCTCCTGGTAACATGTCCAAAGCAGACAAGATGAAGTCTCACCATCTTTACTTCGAAGGAGCATACCGGCTGTCCATCTTCTCAGATAGATGCTTGTTCTCCTGGCACTCCGTAGAACTATCAAAAATTTTAACCAAAACCATGATTCAAAGGCATCAATTTTCCTCCACTTTGTCCTGTGTCACCTGGCTTTCACACAGCTGTGACGTGGGTGCCTAGTCTTAAAAACAATCCATTCCAAGCATAGCAACCATGGAGGGCCGAGCAGAATTGCTCCATGAATTTCCCAATCTGGTAAATCTCTGCGGGGGCAGAGAGCACCATCTTTCTCCTTTTCATCATTCTCTTGGTTGCCTTTAAATTTTATTTCTTTATTGACATTAATTTTTTAATTTAAATCATTTTATTGGGGGCTCGTACAGCTTTTACCACAAACCACCCATCCATCCATTGTGTCAAACACATTTGTACATATGTTGCCATCATCATTTCCAAAACATTTTCTTTCTACCTGAGCCCTTGGTATCAGCTCATTTCCCCCCTCCCCCCTCTCTCATGAACCCTTGATAATTCATAAAAAAATGTTTTCATGTCTTACACCAACCACTGTCTCCCTTTACCCACTGTCCGTCCCCCTAGGAGGGGGTTATATGTAGATCTTTATGACCGGTGCCCCCTTTCTCCCTCACCTTCCCCTTACCTTCCTGGTATCGCTAATCTCATCATTGGTCCTGAGGGGTGCCTTTAAATCTTACTATACCAAATAAATCCATGATGACAATCCTACATTCATATTACTACCTCCATTTTTATGGACGAGAAAATACAGACCCCAGGTTAAATAACGTGACCTAAGGTTGTGGAAAAGCAAAGATGCTACTCTGAGAACAAAAGGTGTGCCTGACCCAAGCCGTGGTGTTTTCAGTCACCTCCTATGCACGGTGAACGGTGGACTTTGAAAAGGGAAGACACATAAGAATCAATGCATTTGAATGATGGTGCCGGTGCCGAATATTGAAAGTACCATGGGCTGCCAAAAGAACAAGGACAGCCAAAGTGCTCCTCGAGGCCAGCATGGCGGACCTTCTTCCCACGTCCTTTGAACACGTTATCAGGAGAGACTATCCCCCGGAGGAGGAGAGCCTGCTTGGACAAGTGGAGGGGCAGCGGAAAGAGGAAGACCCTCACCAAGATGAATCGGTACAGTGACTGCAGCAGTGGCTCAAACAGAAGACCATGTTAAGGACGAGGCAGGCCTGGGCGGTGCTTCCTTCTGTTACGCACAGGGTCGCTGTGAGTCAGAACCAATTCCACTGCACCTAACAACCAGGTCACATATCTGATAAATAGCCATTTATCAGCCCATCTGTGTCTCCAAAAACTCTTTAAATATACACAGTAGGTAAGCTAAGCCATCTGTAGATTTTCTTTGAGGATTTTTAAAAACTCGTTTTAAAAATGGATTTTCGTTCCTAATACTGAATTTTAAGGGTTCTTTGTATATTATGTGTAAAAGTCCTTTATCAGATGTAAAAAATTTGCAGTTTTTTTGTTATATTAATTTCTTAATACTATTTTGAGAAATATTCTTATTTTTTACAAAATCCAATATATACCAATGGTTTTGTTTCTCTTAATACAAATTATGCCTTGAGAGTTGTATGTAATAAATATTTTATTAATCTAAGGTCCCAAAGATTTCTCATTTCTTTCTATATGTTTTACATTTAAATATAGCATCTATTTTAAGATAATTTTTATGTATGGTGCAAAGTGGAAGCCAAGACTCATATGAGGCATATGGATATTCAGTTGTTCCAACACCATTGGTTAAAAAACCTATCTTTTCTCCATTGAATTGCATTTATACCTTAATTAAAAAATCAATTGACTATATAGCTCCCTGCCATAGACCCAATTCTGACTCAAAGGGACCCTAGATAAGGTTTCTGAGACTGTAAATATTTACAAGAACAGACAGTCTCTCCTTTCTCTTGTGGAGAGACTGATGGGTTCAAACCCACAGACCTTTCCTTGCAATGTAACGTCTAACCCATGGTGCCACCCAGGTATATTTTTGGATTTTGTTCTCTTCCTCTGCTCTGTATCTTTTCACCATCATTCTTTTAAAATTATAACTTTATAGCAAATATTGAAATAAGGCAGTATAAATCCATTTTGTTCTCCGCTTTCACTCTTGCTCTTACTATTCTAGTGTCTTTTGTCTTCTCGTCTAAATGTGAGACCCCACTGGAGGACTTCTGAAAGTAAAAGACGCCGTGATTTGTATTGCACTTGTGTTGCCTCTAAATCACCGTGGAAGTAATTAACGTTTTAATAACACTGGGACTTCTCATCCAAGAATGTATTACCCATTTGCTTAAGTCTTTTCTTTTTTATCTTAATCGGCATTTTCTAGTTTTCAATGTACAAATCTGACGCCTACTTTATGAGATGTATATTGCTGTCTGCTAAGTGTCGGGCTGCTAACAGCAAGGTTGGCGTTTCAAACCTACTACCTTAGTCACTCAGCAGGAAAAGGCTGACGCCATTGGCTCCTGCAAAGATGTACTGCCTCTGCTGACCAAAAGGATCACTAAGGACTGGAGCTGACACGATGGCAGGGGGTTGGAAATACTTACATATTTCATGGTTTGGGAACTATTGTACATAATATTTTTGAACAATGATTTCTAATTAATCACTAAGTATAAAGATGATTATTGTTCTATTGACCTTTCGCTGTAACCTTGCTAGTTTGTCAGGTTTTATTTGATAGATTTGGGAAGGATTAATTTTTTATGTAGAAGTTATGTCCTCTGTGAATAGAATTTTTCTTTTATTTTGAATCTGTATGTCCTTATTTCTCTTTCCTGCCTGTGTGTCTCTTTGTCTCTCTTTAAGTCTACTGGCATGCTGCTTGTTTTCTATTTGTTCCACACATTTTTCTTACATTTTCCTCTTTTGGGGGATTGCGTATATGTCTATTATTCCATGTTACTGCCTTTTTTGGCCCTTTTCAAGAGTAGTAGTTTAATAGTAAACCTCTACACCTTATCACATAGGAGCCCTGGGAGGGTAGTGGTTACAAGTTGGATGATCAGCATGGTTGGTAGTTTGAAACTACCAGCTGCTTTGCGGGAGACTGGACTTTCTACTCTTGTAAACAGTTCGTCTCAGAAACCCATGGGGGCACTGTGAGTCCGTCTTGACTCGATGGCAGTGAGTTTGATTTTGATTTATACCTTATCACAATGTGCCTTCAAGTTATACGACTTCATCTACAGTAAGTGAACCTTTCAACTGTATGCTTCCACTCCACCTTTTGTTATTGTGGTCATCTATTTTACATCTACATTTGCTTTATCTTTCTATATATTCTTATTATTTGGACTGTCAATTATCTTTGAAAGCAATTTTAAAGAAGGAAAAGTAACTTTGAATCAACCCTATTTACTACCTGTTTCAGCACCTTCCAGGAGTCCTGTAGCAGAGGATGTTGGGCTGCTAACCACAGAGTCAGCAGTTCAAAACCACCAGCCAGACAAGGCTTTGTACTTTTGTCAAGAGGTATAGTCTTGGGGGGCTGACACGCCAGAGGAATGGGGTCTCAGCTGAAAGACAGCATCCCAGTTACTGAACTGTCTGCCAGTTGACTCTTTCAGAGTCATAGACCTTCCGCGGAAAGGCTTTTCTTGTGTGAAAAATGAGCTTTTGCCCTGTCATCCTCTTGAATCATCAGAAAAAAACGTCTAGCTCAACCAGGACAAGATGAACTTTTCCACCCTGAGCCTGTTTGCGCCCCTCAAGCTGCAGATGGAGCTCCAGGCGGTGCGGCAGGTCCAGCGCCTTCCCTTTCTGCCCAGCTCCAACCTCTCACGGCACAGCCAGAGGGGCGGCGATGAGACCCGGCCTTCGAAGCCATCCTTGACCACCCAGAGCAGAGCGAGACCCTGGGGGAGCCGCACTGCAGGGTGCAGCACCAGCTGGGCTGCTGGGACGAGTCTCCTGCCGCATTCAAAGTGGGAAAAGGAAGAGTTACCGTCTTGGGAGCTCCCCGGAGCTGTTCTGCCCTGCCCTGCCTGCCCTGTCCTGTCACTATGAGTAGGAACAGACTCGATGGACAGGAGGGGCTTGGGGGGTTGGGTTTCCAGTCTGCGACCTTTCTATGGAGCCGATTTCCATCTGGTATCATGTTCCTTCTCCCTGAAGGGCTTCTTAACATATTTGCTACTGATTACATTTAGATTTTCTATGTCTCAGAAAAAAATCTTTATTTTTCCTTTGTTTTGACAAGTATTTTCCCACCCCACCCCCACCCCAGGGGATAGTGCGAATGCAGCCCCCCACTACCACAAATTATGCAGTCGAGTTTCCCACATTGGGGGAAATCGCAGGGGTCAGCACATCCGGAGTGCAATGGATAAGCCTTGGGAAAACCACCTTCGTGATCATGGTATCTCCCCTGCCAGGTAAGGACGTTTTGACAAATATTTTTATTGAGTATGCTGACTGGGTAAATTGACAACTTTTTGTTTTGTTTTGTTTCAGGACTGTCAAGCCGCTAGCTGACTACCTGTTGACTGTTTTCTAAGTAAAAACCAGATGTTATTTTTATCTTTGTTCCTCTGTATATGATGTTTATTATTCCTCCAAAGGGGTCATTTTTAATCGCATGTACATTTTTCCCTGAAAAAATGGGGTTTGTATCTTCTCCTCTATCATCCATCTCTCTTGAACATACCTGCGTCCGCGCGTCTATCAGTTCCAGCGCTTGGATCATTTTCAATCTATGCATTTTCTCCTCATTTGGGATGCTTGATCACTGGAACTTGTAATATTGCGAATTTTACCTAGTTGAATATTGCTAGCTATTTCTGGGTGACCATTTTGTTTTGGGTCACAGTTAAGTCACTTGGAAATTCTCTGATCCTTTTAAATCTTACGTTTAAGCTTTGTAAGACAGGTCCAGAGAAATTTTTACTCTAGGACAAAGTTTCCCGCAGTCACAAGGCAATAATATTCTCCTGAAGTATCCCCAGCGCTGTGTATCACTGGAGAGTCCTCCTGCCTTCCAGGTTGGGGAAACTGTCCCCACCTCTGCTTATGCTTATCGGTGTTCTGCTAAAGGTTTCAGGAGGGGCCAGTTTGGGTTGTCAGAGTTCTCTTGTGATATTCTGCCAGAAAAACCCTTGACTCCATGGAGTCTTCAAACTCCACCCTCCGACTCCTCAGCTCACAAAGACCTCTAGACCAGCAGTTCTCAACCTGGGGTCGCGACCCCTTTGGAGGTCGAACGACCCTTTCACAGAGGTCGCCCGATTCATAACAGTAGCAAAATGACAGTTATGCGGTGGCAATGAAAAGACTATATTAAAGGGTCGCGGCATTAAGAAGGTTGAGAACCACTGATTCTGACTAATAGCAACCCTATCGAACAGAGGAGACCTGCCTCTATGGGTTTCTGAAGCTGCAGAGGAGAAAGTCTCATCTTTCTCTGTGGAGCAGCTGCTGGTGGGTTTGAACCACTGACCTTGTGAGTAGCAGCCCAATGCACTACACCATCAACTACAGAATGAATTATGATATATTCTATAGAATGAGTGATTAAATGCTGTATAATGGATCGTTGTACAGCAATGAAAAAGAACCCATCTGCGACTGCATGTAACATGAATGAATCTCCCAAACACATATATTGTGTGAATATTTATATACAGAGAGGAATATCGATCATAGCAGCCAGATATAAAGAATATTGTATGATTTCATTGATAGGGGCAAAGCTAATTGGTGGTGCTAAAAGCCAGAAATGCAGTTTTCCTTCAGTGGGAGGCAGGAGAGGAGCCCAGACTTTGACGTGAAGTCAGAAGGGGACTTCTGGAAGGTTTATAGTCTTTCATTCTTTTCTGATTGCCTGTATATGTCCAAGAGTACACAGAAATTCATCAACCTTACAAAAAGTTTGAGGAAAAAAGGAATTAAAATTAATGCAATTTTTACCAACTTTTGGAACAGCCCCCCCCATCTATAAATTTTTCTGTATATTATACCCACTGCCATTTCTGACTCATAGCAAGCCTGCATCAGGTTTCAGAGACTGTAAGTCTTCATGGCAGTACAGTCTCATCTTTCTCCTGAGAAGTGCCTACTGGGTTTGAACGGTCAACCTTGTGGTTAGCAACAAATGCCTGTCCCATGCACCGCCAGTGCTCCTGGTATTTATATTATGCTTGAATAAGTTTTTAGACAGTTACACTTGCTTCATAAAAAGAACCGGGGAGCTTGTCATCTTTTCCTAGTTTCTCACTCACTGCTGAGTTGATTCTGACTCATAGTAGCCAATGGGCAGAGAACAGAGTAGCATGGAAACCTGTGTGTCTCCAAGGCTATAATACTTTGGGAGTAGAAAGCCTTTCTCCGAGTGGCTGGTGGTTTCAAACAGCTGACCTTGTGGTTAGCAGCCCAGTGTTTAACCCATTACTCCACCAGAGTTTCTTTCTGCAGTTTACATTTTTTCTTTTAAATAAGAGCTTCCTGAAATTAATTGTTAGAGGTGAGTTAGACTTTGGTGAACTTTCATAACCAAATCAACCCCTTTACTGCTAGTTTATAAAAAGGAATAGAACCAGTCTGCTTTGAGAAAACCCAATGAAGATGCCTTCACTGAGTTCAGGTGTTGCTCCGGTCCTATCACAAGACTCCAAAGAAGGGCCTTTGCTGCTTTAGAATGGTGGGAAGGACCCAGGCTCCTACATTTCTTTTCTTCTCACCTTTATTGGTTTTTCATCTCAGGTTTAGTCTCAGATGGCTTTCACAGTGCCAGTTAGCGTATCCAACATCTAGAACAAGGTAGAAAGCAGGGAGAGAAGGGGTAATCGGGCCAGGTCTCCTTCTACAGGTGAAGGGACATTTTTCAGAGGGTTTTGGCACTCTTCTCATAGCTCATTGGCCAGACCACTGGCCTCCTCTACATTAAAGGATGTTGAGAAAATGAGGTTGTCTCCCACGTGAGCTCTCGTTAGGGCTGAAGGGTGAGCCAATATTCTGTCACAACTGCCATGAAGAAGAATCTATGTAGTCACTAATTTATGGTTTGCATTTACCCTGATCTCCTCCTACACTGATGATAAAAGGTAATGTATATAATTTATAAACAGTGACTGAGTCCTTAATAGCTTCACTCTCAAATCACCTCTGAATACACTTCCTCCACAGGCTATCAAAGTTCTAATCTTCTTTATTTATTTTCTATTTCGGATTCACTTCCTAGATAGAGCCTGAGTTGGCCCCTAAGGTTGTGCCTGTGTTCTGTCAATGGGTGCATGGTTCTTCCTTCCCAAGGGGCTTCCCTTTCACACCTTATGGAAGGCTGGCTTGTTTTTCCTGAAGAGATTAATAAAAAATACCTTCAGGCATACATCCTTTGGGTCAACTAGTACCACAATAACTCTCTGATGTGAAGAACAGACTTCTTTTGCTCTTTCAAAACCAATCATTAAAAACCAAATGATGTTTCTATGAAGAGGCCCCTAAACAAAGTAAACTTTTGAAACTGGGGAAATAAATAGAAGCAAGACTTTCCAGACATTCAACAACAAATAGTCAGGCCTAGACAATACTCCCTGAAAGGGAGGTAGCAGGTCATTAGCAGAGCTTGTCACCCAGAGAGGGTGGCCATGACTCACTGATGAGCAACCTGGCAGAGTCTAGTCCAGTGGTTCTCAGCCTTCCTCAAGCCGTGACCCTTTTATACAGTGCCTCATGTTGTGGTGTCCCCCCAAGCATATTATTTTCATTGCTACTTCATCACTGTCATTTTGCTACTGTTATGAATTGGGTGAACTCTGTGAAAGGGGCATCCAACCCCCAAAGGGGTCGCGACCCACAGGTTGAGAACCGCTGCTCTAGATCATATCTTTTGATGAACATGTATAAAAAGAGCTGATGAATGGACCCTTTGTTATGAATAATTTTACCTTTAGTAGATTCTGCCAATCCAATTGCAAAGTGTTTGAATCAATGTACACCCTCATGTCAATGGATGTGTTCTACTTCCAAATCCTTGTCAAACCTGCGTAATTTTCGCATCTAGTAAAAACAGTCCATATGCAAACACAATGGACTAACTGCAGTTATGAATATGCGTGCTAGGGTTCTAAATAAGACTAGCAACTGGACCCCAGTTGAGAAGACGAGAAGAACACTATCTGAGCAAATGGACTTCATCCAGAGACGTGAGAAGGTGCAGCGTCCAGAACCCTGTTCACGTAACTCAGCTAGTCAGCCGTTTAACGGAGACCCCAGGCCCTTATCACACAGCCAAATGAAGTAGTCCTTCCTCAGTACATTTATACAAAATAGAAGAGAACTTATTCACATAAGGTACACATTATTGCCCAAATTGCAGCACAAATATTCTAAACACCACTCAAACAATTTCAATTAAATGCAGGTTTATTGCTCAATACTTTATTGGTAGATCTAGACAATAAAGATTCTTGGAAAGACTCTTTCCAACCCTGGAAAAGATACGAGCTATATTTGTCGCTGTCAACATTCTGTTTTGATGAAACCCCAACAGACTCTGGGGCAAAACAGATAGAATGACTGAGAAAATTTAGTAAGGATAAACGATCAATGCAGTGTATACATGACAGACACAACAGAAAGTATTGGTTTTCTTCTTCACGTGTAGTACCCTCCTGAACATGGAAGTGGGGAATAAGCCCATTCACAATAACGACTACATGACTAAGAAATAGGAAAACATTTCCAAAAAGAGGCCTAAGAGTTGAAGGAAGGAAACTCTTACAATGTGTGAAACTTTTAAAGAAGATCTGTATGAACAAGTCACCACACTCTTAGATGGGAATTTCAAATTTCCCCAAAGTAATATGCAAATTTAACAGCATTCAAACAAGTCCCCCCTAAGGCTGGCTTTCTGAAATCAGAGAAAATGATCACAAAATTCAAATGCCTGAGAGTGGCTAAGAAAGGTGGCAGACAGAGCAGTGGGCAGGGGTGGGTGTGGTGGGAAAGAGCTCGCCTCACTATTCTCAAGCTACTGTGTGCAAACATATTAGAAACCCACTATCGAGTCCACGTGATACTGTCAAGCAGAAATAAACAAAGCAGAATATGATCGTGAGAAATCAATCCGACTGCACGTGGAACTGTAACCCAGAGTGACGGTGTTTCAGCGCACTGGGAAAGGGCATTCTGTGTGCCAACTGATGAGAGAACTGGTAACCCGGTTTGGAAGAAAATCTTGGCACAGTGGGTCCGTGTCCTCCACTCTACATAAAAACAAACTTCCAATTGAGTGAAGATGGACATGTTTTCTTTAAAAAATGTTGAGGCCTTTCTCGAAGGTTCTATATGCCACCCAGCGGGTGGAGACCATTCTTAATCCAGACAGGATACGTTAAAATGTTTATTTAGTTATAAATATCTGTATTTTATAAAATAATATCGTAT